TTTTACGGTTGCTTTTTATAACTCTGCTTCTGTCTCCTTGAATCCCAGTCGGCCTCAGCAGATGGCCGCTCACACTGAGTCTGGTTCTGCTGGAGGTTTCTTCCTGTTAAAAGGGAGTTTTTCCTCTCCACTGTCGCTACAAGCATGCTTAGTGTGAGGGATTGCCTTAAGAGTCAATGAGTCGATGTAACTGGTTTTCCTTAAATAGAAAACTTTGAATTAATTTGGCTGTCTGATCTGGTTGAATTGTAAAGTGCCTTAAGAGGTGTTACTGGCGCTATATAAATAAACTGAATTTAATCATCTAAAATCTACATTCTAAGATGAATTGCGCCACAAACAATGAATAATAATAAATAAGGCAAATGCTGTGCATTTGTTGGTTGAAGCTGGATAATTTTCTTTTTTCTGCAAAGTGATAATAGAAATAAAAAATATATGTCTTTAACTATAAAGCAAATCCTTTCAAACTTGTGCAAAGTTAAAGCTGCGGGTTTGACCATTTCCAGGAGGAGGGCATTTTTCTCTATGCATGAAAACAGAGATGGAGAGCAGAGCAGAAGGAGCTGGTGGTTACCTCTGCCATGACAAACGGTCGCTCCTGCAGCAGATTGGACACCTTGAAGCGGCACAGGCCAGTGATGAGGAGGGAGTAGTGTGGTTTGGGCCAGTTACTACCCACCACCTGCACCGCGATACCTGCTGTACCGATCCTGCACAAAGAGAGACGGAGAGAACAAGAGTTAGACAGAGAGACGGACAGACAGCTATAGACCCACTGATCTGCTCCAAAGCTTCCTGCTCTGAACTCACAGGCCACCGTAGAAGCTGTCGTTCAAGCCTGTTTGTGAAAACACTCGTATGTTTCTGATTTCCTCTGTCAAACTAAAAATAAGTAACAGAACGACTTCTGAAGCCTTTGTGACTATCCAGGAAGACAGAGCGGAGTGAATAATGCAGATTTAATCCTGGTTTTCCTCACATCTGGCAGAAATTAGCATCCCCTCCGTCTTCTTTCAGATTCATCTTTTAATCCTCTCGTTCATGTGACCCAGCTGTAAGGGAGCAGAGGAGGCTGCGATTCCAGCTGCTGGCTTCAGGAGCGCAGCTCTGCAGCCTCCAAACATCTTCAGCTTCACAGAAGCAGGAGGAGATCAGCCTATTTCTGGAGTGACGACAAACATCAGAGCTTTAGCTGCTACTTAGTAACCAGACAGGCTGATAAAGGGTTCAAAGTTCACCGCCCCGTGGACGTTACGGCTGGATGGTGGCCGTTTCCAGAACAAATCCACCATGCGTGCATTGAAAGATCTGAGCTTATACCCGAGTGGAGCTAAGATGTCTGCTATAGTAAACATACCAAACCTGCGAGTCTCTAAAGCCTCAAACTGCCAGACTGAGCCGCACCGTCCGCTCCAGATTTAACCTGCAGCAGGATTAGAAGGTTTCTCTGCTGGAACAAACATAAAGGATCATGATGTGAAAAATGTGCCGTCAAATCCTTGATTGGTTGGCAGTTTATTTGGAGTTTTACTAGGATGCCCTTTATTTTATATTTATTGGGTGTTTTTGGCTTTAGGAACCAAATCATTGTTTAAACTAAATTTTTTATTTTTATTAGTCATTTATAAATCGTCTGTTTATGATCAATGTTTTTTGTTATGATTTCATCATTTTCTTTTTGAACAATCTGTTCTGAAAGTTCACCTTTATTAAACTTAACTTTGGAATTTTTGATTTTGTATTTATATTATATCTAATATTATTATTTCATCTTAATTAATTTCTTTGGTTTATGACTCCAGTTATTTTTTTGATTGATATTCAGTTATCCCCCCCCCACCACTCTAACCTGCAGGGACCCCAGTCCCAGACCCAGACCCAGTCCAAGTTCCAGACAGACCCAGTCCAAGTTCCAGACAGACCCAGTACCAGACAGTCCCAGTCCCAGACATACCTAGTACCAGTCCCAGACAGACCCAGTACCAGACAGACCCAGTCCCAGTCCCAGACATACCTAGTACCAGACAGACCCAGTACCAGTACCAGACAGACCCAGTCCCAGACAGACCCAGTCCCAGACAGACCCAGTACCAGACAGTCCCAGTCCCAGACATACCTAGTACCAGTCCGACCCAGTACCAGTACCAGACAGACCCAGTCCCAGTCCCAGACATACCTAGTACCAGACAGACCCAGTACCAGTACCAGACAGACCCAGTCCCAGTCCCAGACATACCTAGTACCAGACAGACC